GTATGACGATACGATATTATTGTTATAAAATGTGACATTTCTGACACTCTTAGAAATGTGGCGGTAGCGCGTGACACCTACCGGTGGCTGTGGTCGGTGGCCCTTTTGCGCCGAGCTTTAGAGTTTAGATTGTGGTCGGGTCGTTGTTGCGTATCATTTTTTAGACCAAGCAAGTGATTTGGAACCTAATGAAAACTTGCTATACGATTAATAGGAAAACATTGCACAAATATAAGCACTGTCATGTTATCATCGAATGGTTCAGATTCGCTTACTTAGGTCGAACCAAACAGCGCTGCTACGTTGGTGGAATCACTACATATTATAAAAAAAAGTCGCTATCCTGTCTGTCTGCCCCTTTGTATGCTTAGATCTTTAAAACTACGCAACGGATTTTCATGCGGTTTTTTAAAAGATAGTGTTTTTAAGTATAATACATTGTACCTGTGCGAAGCAGGGGCGGATCGCTAGTCAAATAATAAAGCAATTTCTGTCCTCAATAGTCATTTTTGTGGACACCCTACTTCATGGATATAGTTCTTGGAACTGAAATACGAAAATCTGTTTCTACGTTTTACTTGTGTAGTCTACTAGCAGATAATCACGTATTCAGTTAAACTATAGTACATTTTATAACAAAATATTTACCTAGTTGAATATTTATTTCAATCAAACAGCGCTGCTTAGTTGGTGAATCAAATATAAATAATTGTTGTCTTCAATCGTAATTTTTGTGGACACCCTACTTCATGGATATCTTTAAACTGAAATACCAAAATCTTTTTCTAAGTTTTACTTGTGTAGTCTATTAGAGTAACAGTTAATCACATCGTATTCAGCTGAATTATAGTATTTTTAATATAATAAAACATTTAGTCGAATATTTAAAAATAAGTAAAACCTAAACATAATGGCAAACGATAGTAGTAATTTTTGATACACTATTATTTGTGTTGAGATTTTTGATTGGTTTTCTGAAAAATACGAGTACTGCATCTGACATTTTTACTGGATGGTTTTTATACATCCCTGTTTGCTAACTCCTGAAAACCTCATCAAACTTTACAAAGCTTCTGCTATTCTCGACATTCGCTTATTATCGTATAGATAAAAGTAAGAAAAAAAAACATAGAAAAATATACAATTTAAAAAATAACACATCTACAACTGTAAGTCGTATCAACTGTTTACCTCGCCTCGGTAAATGAAGCGATTCTATTGATTCTTTACAAACACATCCCTCGCTACGCATCCTCCCACATCTCTGGTGGAAACGCAGCCTAATACCACAGAATAAGTAATAGTACAGGTACAGAAGGATTACTCCGCAAGACGATTTAAATAAATGCGAGTCTTGCTACGACGCGATACAGTGGAATTCAGCTCGCACAGCACTACGTACCTACAATTTTATTCACCTACAAGTTTTGTCTCTTTCTATCGCGTGCCTCTGAACTCTTCTTACGCTGTTAGGGTTGCTGTCTAGTGAAAAAATAATTAATGTACTTATTTGTAATGAGGTACGTATGTAGGTAAGTATGCATTCATTATGGAAAACCTTCATAGTAGGTTAGGTTCCTATACTATCCTAAGAATTATTGATTACCTACATGGCCAACATTCCTTTCAGCATCATTGGGAAGCGAAAAAAAAAGATAAATCCGGTAGATTACTTTTCGAATTTAAACACCCGAACGCCGCACAATATTTCTTTCTCTTTATGTCCATTTTTAAATAATACTTCGATCATAGAATTATAATCATACTACAACGCACGCCAGCGTCCTGACGAGCGCGCGCGTGACACTCGACTGATATAATACCCGCCGGCGGGGCGCTTCGCTGTAGGTAATTATCGGATGTACCGCGCGGAGTGAGCCAGGCCTGCTAATACCTAGTACTTTTATTATTTGCATTGCAACGTCACTTCACCATCGTATCTACTTGGTGAAATTGAATAAGTACAGGTGTTTCTTATAAGGTGTCAAGCTGGAGCGAGGAGATATAATAGAAGTGCATCATACATTACATAATATAAACTGAACCCCTTTGTATGTTCAGCGAGATTGCGTAATAGACTATTTGACACCATGGTAGTCTATTTAGTTATACATATATATAGTTTGTTTAGTTTAAGACATAATTTCTGAAGAAAATATTGTCGTGAAGTAGATTTGAACTTTCGTTTACCTTTCGTTGAAGCTGGAGGTGCCTTCCACGTCATCATCATCATCATCATTTCAGCCATAGAACGTCCACTGCTGAACATAGGCCTCCCCCAATGCTTTCCATGTTGATCGATTGTTAGCGGCCTGCGTCCAGCACTTCCCTGCTACCTTTATGATGTCATCGGTGTACCTTATGGGTGGACGTCCCACGCTGCGTTTTCCGGTACGCGGCCAGATTTTTTTAAAAGTCTACATTTAGGCTGAGAACACCCGGCGAGGTTTTCACTACCGCCCGTCGTGGTTGCAGGGTAGCTTGATTATTCCAAAACTGCAAAAAAAAAAGAAGCCGCGCCGTGAGTTCTTAGCCTTAAATATCGTAACAACGCTCAATAGTACGCGAATATTTGTCTTTAAAATATAGTTAGGGACCGGTATTAACTTTTTTTAACAGTTTTTCGTTTCGTTATTATTTAATCTGCCAAAAAGCGTACAACAACCGTCAAAAACACTTCCGCATCCAACTGGCCAAACCTGTAGGTGATGATCATGATGCTTCCAAAAACTGAATGTTTTAATGTTATTAAAAGTGTTTGTCTAAATGTTCGTGCACCCTGTGTGCTACCCTGGCACGTTGCTCCTTTCACCTTGATATTTACACCCATATTCACAAACGATGCTTGCATAAGTGAAGCAGCAACGCTGTGCGAAGTCGAACGCAAAGCGTTGAATAGAGCTCTGTGATTGGTTCGTGTGTCACTCCGTCACTCTTAAGTATTGTCTATGAATAAGTTTTTGGGACCCTGTGCGTCCACGCGCTGTGTGACCTCACAGTATTGTTTGTGAATATGGGTGTTATGTACCTACATTGCTTATCGGACTACACACTGACACTTGCTAGTTTACATACAAGTCTTATAGAATTGGCATAAGTGTAGACAATCTGGTGGCAACTTGTTTATTGATTAACTAATATAGAGGTTCACATTTTTAAATTGCGTGGATTCGATTGTGTACCACTATTGGCTCTGTGCACGATTACAGCGCCAACTAGCGTCCACAACTTTGTGGGCTTTGTCACATTGACATTTAGGTCGTTTATTTGTAAAAAAATATCGAAATGAAAAAATAACATATATTTTCGACTAATAAATTGTTGTGATACCACGATCTGGGTGGAAAAAAGGTTTTGAAATCATTTTGGTCATTCAAATCAAATGAGGCAAGTCCGAAAAGTGTGTTTAATTTTGATTGTGTCAGGGTTTGTTTACTTCATTTAAAGTTGTAGTTTTACAGTAAAACAAAAAGAAAAAGCTACTTTAACGGTTTGATTATATAACAGTAAATATATTTAAATGTTCCTGTAAATATAGTAATAAATTAAATATCGTTTTCAGATCGAAATGAGTATTGTTTTGAAGACCGGGTTTGTGAGTGTTACAATATCAAATTCCAACCACAAACCGTATTTAAAGGAAAGTTGTTGATATTGGCTGGACAAGTCCGAGATGTAGAAGAATTAAGAACAAAACAAGGGCAGAGTTCAATAATTCACGCTCTCATCATAAGGCAAACATCTGTGCACAACAACTACTGTGACTCATTTTTGTACTACCACGTTGTATAGTCTAGTTATTTCCAAATTGTAAACGGCTATTAAACCAGCCCTATCGAAATACAGTCCACTATTTTATTTAAGTTCCCAGTAGGACCCTTTTCATGCGATTAGTTAATGATATTAAAATGTATTATGTAGAATCGCTTTGCCATTGACAGATACATCTGATGACAGAGCTTACATTATTTCTACTTTTGACCACCATGAGCGCTGCGATAGATTATGTTACCCCCACCTAGTACTTCGCACCCAGCGAATAGCCACTTACTTATATTTTGGTATATCTTTCATCTGTGTAGTAAAAAGAATGTAATTTTACTTCAAAAATTATAATTACCTGTAAAATATGATATTTTATATTATGATACATAGATATTTTGAGATTTCAGCACCCTAGACAAAGTAACGTTCGTGCGTGACAGATAGGAAATGAGGGAACAAAACGAATTATTTCAGAATTAAAACTTTCATGTCACGTAGTAAGTACTGTATACTTGGTCTACGGAGGCAGGAGTCTGTTTTGTATAATTAGTTGATTGGGACCATAATGTACTCTCCTTAACTTAGTTTAGAAAATGACGTAATTACCTCCTCTCCTTACTTACTTTATCTAGACTTTTGACCTGCGTGTTTTTCTTGTAAATAGTCCAGTCAAATTAGCAATTATCCTCGAAATGTGAGATAGTGAGCTGAATTTTCTTAATCTTCTTTAGTTCTAAAAGTTGTCTCAGACCAACCAAAATGGTACAAGAGTTGTATAGGTTGAGCAACGAGACTTGAGGCTATAAACAAAGCACGGTTTATTCCCGTAGTCCCCACCACAAGCAAAGATATGTATCTGTATAATTATATGCTGACATCTTGCGTAGTCGGTCTGACTTTTTTAAGCTAAAATGACTGGACTAAAAGGCATATCGATCGTAACGCTGTAGGTTGGTTAATTATAAGTAAACCAACAGTTGCATTGTAATGTTTTTTTTTATAAAAATCAATTACACTATTTTAAATGTTCGAAGAAGATATTTATGTAGAATTTGAGCTATAAAATATTTACTTATGCATCAGCGAAAATATCGGACTATTTTTAGCAAGATCGTAGGTAGTTTTGCATGTTGATATGAAGACATTGCCTACACTTCGAGCCAATTCTATGCGAATACTTCACACGAGCCTGTGATAGCTGAGTGGGTGTTTTAAGTCGCACTTTCTGTTTACAGCGATCGCCGCTCCGATGGGACCCCCGCGCATGATGCAAGGCGCCGAAGCCCGCGCGCCGGATAATCCGCACGAGCCACGCGTGCCTCCACCGTAAGTTGTATTGCTTACCATGGGCCTCATAAGAAGGCTCAAGGTCACCCAAAGGGCGATGGAGCGTGCTATGCTCGGAGTTTCCCTGCGTGATCGAATCAGAAATGAGGAGATCCATAGGAGAACCAGAGTGAATGACATAGCCCGCAGAATCGCTAAAATCAAGTGGCAGTGGGCGGGGCGAATAGCTCGTAGAGCTGATGACCGCTGGGGCAGGAAAGTTCTTGAGTGGCGACCACGAGCCAGAAGACGTAGCGTGGGCAGGCCTCCCACTAGCTAGGTGGACCGACTGTTTGATTGACTTACATTGTATTATTACAAGGTGTGCATTGTAATGCTCGGTTTTCCTCCCTCATTGATGTAATACTCGAATCTGTAACGTTATTATTGCACGCGAATGCTCCCGGCAAGGGAGCACCTAAAAAACGAAACGTTTTAACGTCTAATGCTTGTTTTCACCAACAATTCCTAATTTTTAAGTGACCGCTATGGTAACACAACAGGAATTTTGTTTTCATAGGGGTCACTTAAAAATGAGGAGTTGATGGTGAAAACGGGCGTAAATCACCTTCTTGCGCTGAATCCACTATAGTTTGCAGTAAATGCACGCCGCACAGGACCGGTCATCATAGTTTCGACATTTAGCTAAATAATTTCCAACACGGCACTATTCCCACCTCTCGTTCCCACCGCTGCAACTCCTTTGTAGCCAGGATCAACAGCTTGACCAGTGAATGTCGAGTTTGTCCCGGAGGAAAGTTAAATGTCATTGGACCCGCAACGAAATCAATCAGAAGAGTATAGGAGGAGTTCGAAGTTAATATTATTTTATGTTCTTTTCCAACAGGTACCACATGATGCCACATCAGCGGATGGCTGGCATGAAGCCTATGACCCGTTTTTACGGCCGGTACCCAAGCCCGCCACACGGCAGCAACCTTTCGCCCTACCCCGACTATCGACCGGTCAGTTCAATTCTCTATTATTTTTAGGCCGGCAATACACGGACCGCTTGAAGCAGTCAGGGTCGACAGCTTCAAGCTGCGACTGCACAGTGAACTGCAGAGTTCTATGGACGCACATACACGAACCGCTCGAGCAGTTGCAACTAATTCGGGCGGTCGACAGCACGGTGAATTTTCATCGTGCGGTCAAGCAGTCGCCAGCCATACACTGACTGCTCGAGCTGTCGACAGCTCTCGCGCAGTTACCTCCGCCCACTTTCTTCATTCCACGGCGCGCGCGCTTGTGATTTGTTGGGCAGTTAACACCAACTGCTCGAGCAGTTATCACTGGCAGCTTCAAGCTGTTGACTCTAGACTGCAAGAGCGGTCCGTGTATGTTAATCACTGACTAACTGCTCGAGCTGTCCGTGTCTTGCCGGCCGTAGAGTTCCTGCCTGAAAATATCCACCCATCTTCACAAACGTCTTTTGTGTTTTTAAAGAAATGTCTTTCAATAAATTTGATATTGCTGTAAACTACCCGATCCATCTCGATTCAAGTAAAATATGTTTAGATAACTCATGCGTGCTCAAACCTCTTCAATGTGACGTCAAACAGCGGACGCCATTAAATACGACGTAACTAGGTGCGTCAATGTGTGAGTTTGTGACGTCATGAGTCGCGTCAAGCAAACCGTTGCTAGTATTTAGGTTCTTAGTGTACAACGTAATTATAAAGTTGTTTCAAAAACAATAAAAATGAATGAGCCTGCAGACTGCGGGGTGTCTGACCCTTATCAGGCCTGTTCATCTCCGCGAGTTTGCATCGAAAACAAAACACGCGCGACTTCACCTCCTGAGGTACCTAATCGACAGGACAATCACGAGCGAGTATTGACGCACGCACGTGTATTCTTCACCCATTTGCATTGTAAAGACAATAAACCATATTATATGTAAAAACGGCGGTGTAATTAATACTGTGCAGTATTTTAACTGCCTGAATAATAATAGAAACCCAAAATATAATTCATGCTTATTCATGTATTTCCTCCGCCATTTTCCGCAGTTTGGCACCTCACGTCACACATCATTTCACCGAAGTCAGCCCTATGGCTTCGGCGCAGTACCGATCACTGACGTTTGTCAACAAAATGGTGCTCGACACTGGAGACAAACTAAATTACACCATATTGTTAACGACATAGAGCATACATTTTTTTAAATACCTTCCCGAAGAAAATATGTACGAAGTACTTATTATTATTCTGTGCCTTTATCTCAAATCAGGTACACCAGCCGTTCCCGCAGGCGGCGCCAGGCGGACTCTCGTACCAGTCAGAGGCGTGCGGGCCGCTGCCCAACATCTATATTCCTCCACCGAGCAACATCAGCCCTCAAAGGAATTTGAGCCCGCAATACAACTTTGACGACCGTGAGTATCACCACAAATACTATAGGCCGCGCAACGAGAATTGAGGCAAGGCAATCAACACAATCAAAGCTGTGTCCCTGTATACTGTATGTACGCTCGCTAAGTAACGTGTTCGCCTCAACTTTAGCTGCGTGACCCATCTAAAGCCCGGTCTCTGAGCACGTAGAATTTTGTCCAATGACCCCAAGCTACCCATCCTTATCGCTCGTGCGTAATTATGTTGCTGTTGCGCTCGCACACTCACTGCGGGCGCCCGTCGCACAGTCGCGACAGCAATATAATTACGCGCGAGCGCTAAGGATGGGTAGCTTGGGGTCATTGGACAAAATTCTATGTGCTCGGCGACCAGACTATACTAGTAACTAGTAGTAGTGCTATGAAGTAAAGATATAAGGTTTAAATGGATCTAGTATGTTTTTGGAATGTAACCCTGCAGATCGTTAATGATTTTTTGTGATTTATCACTCACACTTTATGTTCATAATTTCTAGTATTTTTTTATAGTTAAAACTTTACTCGATCCGTAGACTCCTCTGATGTATTTATTTATAAATGGTACCACGCGACTATTATGTGTTTTTAAAGCTTCGACCAAACCAACGCGTGCAGCTCGCCTGCGCGATGGCGATCAGATGTCTTGTATCAATTTGTAGCGATGAGTTCATCAAAGCGTCCTGTCATTGGTCGCGGCGATCTATGCAGCGTCTGATAGATAGTAGGATCCGTTAAAAAGGTTTTATAATACAAAAAAATAATAATAAATAATTCGTTTGTTTTGAATTTGTCATCCATCACTGCAGTGTCACTTTCGATCGGTTCTTATGTAAAAAAAAACAACTTTTCACGCGCTGTAGTCGCCATCGCGGACGCGATCTGGCGTTGGTTTGGCTGAAGCTTAAAATGAAAGTGGAATCAGCTGCTGATAGTTAAGTTCTTTGGGTGGGATTTATCCACATTTAGCATCCTGATTGGCCATTGTGGCAGGAATAAAGGGACGGCCAAACAACCGTCTTCTCGCGTGTAGTAGAGGAGTGGAGGGATCGATCTTACTCAAGCTCTGCCGCCTCCTGTGAAATGACGTCGTGGCGTGACGGGGCTTCCTCTTTCCTGATGATATTTCATCCGGGGCTTTAAGTTTCCTCTGACGCCTTCCACGTTAAGGCCTGATTGTCGCTAAAATTTCTAAGTAAAAATAGACGTTGTATTATGCCACAAGTCAACCAACTTGTATACTACCAGCTGATTCCCAATCATGTAACCGAAAGATACCGTTATAGTAACGTAGAATGGTACAGGTAAACCAAAATACTATCAAGTGTTGCTAATGAGTTCAATATTCGACAGTTTCGGTGGATCTGCTTCCGGACTACCGCCCGGTGCAGTACGTGCCGCCGACGCCCCGCGACATGCCCCGCGACATGGCCCGCGATTTGGGCCACGATATGGCCCGCGATTTTGGCCACGACATGGCCCGCGATTTTGGCCACGACATGGCTCGCGATTTTGGCCACGACATGGCTCGGGATTTGGGCCACGACTTAGCCCGTGATTTTGGCCACGATATGGCCCGGGATCTGGGCCACGACTTGGCCCGCGATTTCGGCCACGACATGGCCCGGGATTTGGGCCACGATATGGCCCGCGACATGGGCCGCGATATGGCCCGGGATTTGGGTCACGACATGGCTCGTGATTTAGGCCATGATATGGCTCGCGACATGGCCCGCGATTTGGGCCACGACATGGCCCGTGATTTAGGCCACGACATGGCCCGCGATTTGGGCCACGACATGGGCCGCGATTTGGGCCACGACATGGGCCGCGATCTGGGCCACGACATGGGCCGCGATTTGGGCCACGACATGGGCCACGACATGGCCCGCGATTTGGGCCACGACAGGGCCCGCGACATGGCCCGCGATTTGGGCCACGACATGGCCCGTGATTTAGGCCATGACATGGCCCGCGATTTGGGCCACGACAGGGCCCGCGACATGGGCCGTGATTTGGGCCATGGCATGGCCCGCGACATGCCTCGCGATTTACCCCGGGATCTAGCGCTCGAATTGCCTAATCGCGATCTGCCACGGGACCTGGCTCATGGCGATCTGCCACGGGAGCTGCGCGAGCTGCCACGGGAGCTGTGCGAGCTGCCACGGGACCTGACCCGCGAGTTGCCCTTGGACCTGACCCGGGAGATCCCTGCTCGTGACATGACGCTCGACTTGGCCCGGGACCTGCCCCGCGAGGTGGGCTGCGACATGACGCGCGCGCCGGAGTTGCCCCACGAGCTCGGAGCGCTCGCCGAGCCACAAGCGTGGGCTTCTGCTTCGGATGTGAGTATGAGAATACTGTATCTTCAGCTTTCTGTAAAATAAATATCTTTTTCTTCAATTGAACTACGGGCTACACGACCCAGTGCCCCAAAGGTCACCTGCTGAATCCAGCATCTAAAATAATGAGTGAATAAAGTTGAAGTCTTATGAGAAACGACACTGCATATTTTCAAAATGCCTTTCAAATGCTATTTAACTACAATATTTTTCACATCACGTAAAAAGTACTGCACCAAATTCAGTTGGTGCGTCACTTGATATACTCGTTCACAATGTACATTGCGCCGCAGTGTGTCCTGGTGTGTTGTGAATAGAAAAAAGTTTGACCGCGCATTTTTTCAGGTGTTCGGTTTCGATGGGATGCTAAACGCTCTGCCCGGCCCATCTAACGCCCCCGAGGAGGTGAGTGCGAAATGAATTACGCCTGCTCATATTCATCATCATCATCATTCAGCATCATATGCAGTTAGTTTTGAAGCTTACAAGGATAAACAAGGCGCTTTGTACATACATAGATACTAAATTTACATTAATTCATTTGTGGTGATTTGAGTCTTGGACCAAATAAAGATTTTTTTCTTTTCTTTCGCTTATTTCTTTCTTCCTTCTTTCTTCCTCGTTTGTTTCTTTAAATTTTTCTTTTTAATTGAACTTTTAAGATCCATCCACCCATACACACAAACTTTCACATTTCGACGGGGAAGTGACAATACCTCCTAACTAACGATTTAAAAAATTAGATTTTCTTAAAATTTAATTTCGAGTGGACTTTTTCCATTCGGAATTTTCCTCCTAACTGATATTTCTTTTTAGATAGCAATAAAACTTTGTGGAAATAGCTGCTATAGGCGCAAATAATATTTACGTATATTTTTCTATCTCCTGAAAACTAAAAAAATAAATGCAGTTAAGAGGTATTGTCACTTTACCGTCGATTTATAATATTTATTCGTATCATAATCATCTGCTTTCATGTCATATAGGTGCGCACTGCATGTCTTTTCTATTGTTATTCTTGCATAGATGTATAGGTACACCAGAATCTCATGGCAAATGGGGAAAATAAACTTTCGTTGAGTGCAATACTGGGAAAATTGGATTAAACGATCTTGATACTGTTCAATTTTTATTTATGACTTTAATATAATGAACATGAAGTACCAATCAATATACATTTTCGGTATGTGTATGAAGAATGTTGAATGTACCTATTGTGGTTTTTAACATAGGAAAATTTCTTGAAAACTAAGTAAATCGTATTTTACTTGTTTTTCAAGACATTTTCCTATAATATTATAAAACTTACCTCCTTTCGATGCAGCTTTCATAATTTGTTTTGACAAGTGACAATAAAGCCACAGACAATTACCATATTATAAAACACACAATTTTCTAATGTTATTTTTGTTTGCCATGAGATTCTGGTAGATCTCACTCCACTCACTCCATTGCTTGTAAGAGGCTTTGAATGAACTCACTGCTATCGCACTATTGCAATTATTATAAAAGATTAATGCGACAGAATTGCACTATTTTACTTTAACAACAAACGTTTGACGTACTATGTCTGACGTTTGTTGTTAAAGTAAAATAGTGTCTGTCAAACTCTATACAAAAACATCGGTGCGCACCTGTACAATTACAGACATAACGCCTTTGGCGCTGTAGCCGCGTATAGTACACCAATGTCTAACCTGTATGCGTATTTGTTTCAGGTTTTCAGTTTTGAAGCCCTGCGCAACCCTCCTCCTCCGCCTAACAACCCAGATGAGGTAAGTGAAGCCTCTCATTAAGGTAGATAGGAAGGCGCTGGGTGCAGGCTGATACCAACGGGTCAATATGGAAATCATTGGATTCCTATTTTCAGCAGTGGACGTCCTATGGCTGAAATGATGATGATGAAGTGTAGCCTCTAGAATTTTTATTGCATAAAAATATGGAATGGCATAATTCGCATGCGAATTCTTAGAGATATTTCCAGTCATTATGCGAATTCCTTATGGCATTATAGAAAATAAAACTATAAGGTGACAACAGCCTAACATTGTGAGTCTCTCGATTGTGCACAGTAGTGATAAACTCAGTCCAGACATGCTGATTAGGTTAGTAGATTAGTGAACGAGACTATTGGTAACTTCTACAAACGCCATCACGCCAAGCTAAACACTTCTTCTTCTTCGTCTTTTCGTGTCGACAACAAACCTACACAGTGTCAGTCCAAAACTCCGCCACAAGAGTGGCGTTGTCAGTAGCACTCATCAAATCCTCCTGAGTGCAGTTGCTTGGGCACTCAGGGCATGACATCAGGTGCTTCATCGACTGGGGAACAAAACCGCACCTACACTCCATGTTTAAGCCATCCAAGAATCCCCACCAGATTGTCCTTACTACGGCCAACCTGCGTCCGAAGTCTATTTAAAGACTTCCAGTAGGCCTAAGATGCGCGCCGCGATAAGCGGTTATCACGCCATTTTATCGATTTTCCCCATACATTTTGACGTCGATAAAAGTTATCACGGCGTGCATCTTAGGCCTACAGGTAACACTTATCTTATGCAGTTGGAATAGGGTTGAGGCAATAAAGTGTATAGTCCGATGTGATGTTGTCTAGTTGTTCCAATCCAATTCCAACCAATAACATTTTTACCGGGATCTTAAAGCGCCATCTATGGTACTTCTTGCTTTTACCGAACTAACATGAGTAACGACCCAATTCATATTAAGAACCATAGATGGCGCTACACATTACGTCTGTGCTGCTTGCATGGCCATTTTCACTTTCCTTTTCGAACCACTGTCTGTACAACTAAAGCCCGGTCTGTGAGCACGTAGAATTTTGTCTAATGACCCCAAGCAATGTATTGTCTTGTTGTATAAGACAATACAAACCTTTGCCAAAACCAAGCAACCTCCTGAGTTTCTCTCCAACACTACTATTATAAAGACCATTGAAAAAGAGGCTAAGTTTCTTGCGCTGCTTCCTCTCAGCACTGGTCCATTTATTGTCACTGCAGAAGCAGTGGTATGGTTCAAAAAATACTAGGACGTTTAAAAGCCCACTTATGAAATAAATGTATTTGAATTACAGGAGTTGGAGGAAGAGCTGCAGGCCCTCGAGCGCCGAATCGATACCGAGTTTAAGTCGGACTAGCATACGAGCTACCGGTACACGCTGCTGCAGTGGTCGCGCCCATACACTGACGTCACCACCTCGCCTGCGCTGGAGACGGTACAGCACTACATGTGCGCCCCGATGGTGGTCCACGGGGACCGCCTCTGCGTCTGTACCATGACCCCCGCCAACCCTCCCCTGCCAATCAGCTTCACCTATGTCTAGGTGACCTAGTGACAGAACAATACTTAAAACAGTTTTAATCCGAACAGTATTTATGTATGTTTCGCGTTTATATATTAACATTAATATTAGTATGATGGTTATATAAATTGTTTGGCATTTAATGTTGGCTACACTTGTTTATTTGATGATGCAAAAGCCACGTCAAAAGTTTGTTTGTTTTCTGGAAAGGAGGGAACGGCCAGGTGTAAAGAGGAGTACGAAGTTGAAAATGTCGATGCTTAAGATCTTGATACTTGGTACAGCTTTTTTCACCTGACTGTCAATTGACACAAACTTATCTAATTAGGCGATGAACTATAAAGACTGCTCGAGATGACTGCGTTTGTACGGTGATAAGTTTGTGTTCAATCAAGTGAAATGCTGTGATTCTTTCTCGTGTTATCTAGTAGTGATATAAGCAAAGCTAATTGTACACGTACATGAGATGTGCTCTGGTCGTATGACATAAGTTAGAAATATATCAAAGTGCAAAGTATACTCATAACTTGTGTATGGACATTTTAGAAAGCAACAGGCACGTCATCTTTCCTAAATTTTTGTAGATATAATTGATGTTTAAATTATTTGCTTGAAATAGTTAAGAATGAATGGTTAGCGGCCATTTTGTTTAATGGTTTTTAACCATGCCAGAATGTGATTGATACAGAATAAAAAAATAAAAATACAAAAATATATATATGTATCGTACTGTAGTTAGTCCAGTCAATGAATGCTTTAACGACGGTGTAGAGAGAAATTCCTGGAACACAATTTCTGACCTCGGGACTTTATTTAGACTAGTTAGGAGGTGAACATAGCAAAAGTCCCCGCCCTTAGCCCTTGCGCCAGCGGGAAGAGGGGGGTTTAAAGGTACCACTTTTCGGTTTTTCGCTTAATCCTCGGAAACTATGCGTCCTAGTGACATGGCTACTATGAACCAAAAAAAACTTATTCAATTTGCTACAGGTGAGACAGTCAAGTTTTTCTATATCTTGTATAGTTTTCGCGGTATCTGCTCTAGAAGGTCTGTAATATTGGAAATTTTAATTTTGTCTTACATGTTCCCATCAGGAGAAAATCGACTTAAGTAAATCAACATTAATGTTCACCTCCTGACAAGTCTAAATAAAGTCCCGAAGTCAAAAATTGTGTTCCACGGTTTTCCATCTATAATGCTTTATTGACTGGACTAAGTGGATTATGGGCATTTATAGTCACCCATAAATCCTTCATACTATAATAATCATTGCTTAACCCATATTATATTGCACTGTAAATAAGATAGGCTCTTAATGAGACTCCAATACTTTATTAATTAGCATACGCGCAGATGCAAAATCGTGTCACGTTTTTTATCTATTTGCATCGACTTAAAAATATGTTTTTGCAGCTGCATGTGTGTTTTCAGTGTGAAATATTGGCTCTTCAGTTATCCATGTAGGTATTATGTTAAATGCAGTGAAATATGATTCCCGGGTTTTATTCAATGGCCGTCGCAGGGAGCACCGAGATTCGCGATGACTGATCCAAAGGGGGGCATGGGTTCGGTTCCCGACGCGAATGTCCGATCCTATTCCATAACAATATTTAAGGGTGTGACGTCAATTGTCCAGTTGTAGTGCGGCGATTGTACCGTCGTTTTTCATATTTGTATAAAATCGCATAGGAGTGGGGGGCACTATATTACAGGGATAGGACCTCACTTGTATTCCGAGGTCGCTATTCACCGCCCTAGGTTTAGCGGGCGACGCTCTCCCTCTGTCTTACTCAAATAATATCTTATATCGTACAGTGTGTTATTTTTAAGTGCGTTGATGCGAATGTGTGCAATATTTGCTAAAGCGATTACGCTCAAATTTGAGATCGCCGTCTAAACTCGTCAAAAGGAATCGCCTAGTTTCGTTGACTGTTCAATTGTCCGAACATCTGAGTTTTAGATACATGTACCTTGTAAGGCACATTGCCTCCTTTAATGTTGCACACTACAATCAGCTACATTTATCACATTAGAAATAGTTTTAGTATTTTCCATCTGGACTGTAAAACATGTCATTTGGCCTAAATTGATACAATTTTTTAGATTTCCGAACAGAAATTTGAAGTTTTTAAATATTAAATCTAAAAAATAAGGCTGTTTTTTTTTATAATAGGGTTATATGTGTACTCTTTTACGCTCTAAGCGAGTGAAAGAGTTAGGTTATAAGAGTGGTGTGATCTGTATTACATAATAATCTAGTGGGTCTAAAGCGGGTTGATATAATGGACTTGCGGGAATAGTGTTTATCACATATTGTATGTTTGCTAGTAGTGGTAGCGTGTGCGGGTGCAACATTGGCATCCCTTTGTTCCATTTTCGGTGACAATGACGATGTTCAATGGGTGAGCAAGGCTGAGTTACAGTCTTGTTACACGCATGTTTTTTTGCTTGATGTACCCATTGTACCAATGTTGCATCTAAGCAACGATTTAAATACATTTTGTGTCTATGTACGAAGAAACTGTCAGTATGCCGCATAAGGCTTGATGTTAGTCCGATAAGGTCGTTTGCTAGTTGCGTCACTACAGAAAGAACGGGGCTTTCATAAACATCGTGTTACCATATTCACTGTGGGGATTTTTAACAAGGACTGCGATTGCTAATACTGCACTTAAATCCTTTCCGCCACTTTTATACCAGCATACTAAATATCATGGTGTGACAGTGACATTAAACACATAGTTTTTGAAACGCCCCAATAAACGATGTCGGCGGCATGATGGCACCATTAGTTAAATAACAAACTTTTTATGATGCGTCAAAAAACCGTTACTTCTTCATTTTCCATTTCCACGAAGTAAATTTTAATTATATTTGCAAATTGTCTATCGGAAATTACTACATTTACTTACAATTTGATAAGTTAATAACTTTATTTTGTTTGGTGTCATCATTCCAATTTGTAAGAACAAGCGTCACTCTATAAAAACTTTCGCCTCTTACAATTTGACCTATATAATAGACGTCTGCAGGACTGTCTAGGTACTGTGCTAACTTTGTCATTATAAACTGGTATATGTGCCAGGCTATAATGCACCTTATCACCATGTGAGACACCTGCAATTCCTTCGGGAGTTGCTCAGGAGTGGCGCTTTGGCACGAAAGTTCGGGCGACGTAATCTGCAAATGACCCTCATTTTAAGTAAATGTTGTTTGTACTCAGTGTGAAGTTATGATTTCGTCGCGTACTTATAATGATTTTTCCCAATCCCAATCAACTCAGCTTACTTGGTTTTTTTTAATACCTTTGCATCCTAACTTTGCTAGTTGGTTATGAGGTTCATATTGTTCAAAACAGACATAGATTTGAAAAATTCTTTTTCTGTACAAACAATTTCAACAATGACCTGATAACAAGGTTTTTACATTAAAATTTACTTTGCGTTTAACGTTTTGCCAAACTCTTATTTGAAAGACCGAAATAAAATGTAATAATATGATATTTGACATGTTTGTGTATCCAATAGATCTTTACTTATTAATTAATTTTGCCGAGAAATTCAATTTGCCTTTACAGCTCATACGTTCTAGTGACTAACTAGCAAAGCTTTTCTTACCCTTGTTTACCTGAACTGAACAAGGATTTTTTTTATAACGGGGGGTAATTTAACTTTGTGATACTAATAAGGCTGTAGTAAGCTGAGAGGTTCAACTCAACGCCTTCAATACTTTGTGAATATTTTTTATGATTTTTCTTTTATCGAGTTGTAGTGATTGAACGCAGAGATCCTAAATAAGATTCCTGAAGATGTATTTTTGACACGAGATTATCTGTCACTTTTATCTCGTGAGTGTATGGAATTCCGACTCTAAGAGTAGGCGCACACCGTTGATTTTTCGTCGGCCGATAGTTTAGTCGGGCTGTTGATCAGTATGGGCGTACACTACGCCGATTCGATTTGGCCGATTCTTCATACAATTTGAAATCGGGCACAACTATCGACCAACTAAAAATTAACGGTGTGCGCCTACTCTTATACCACACTGGTGTGATTGTTGTAGTAGGAATTTTGTATTGTCGCATAACCGCTCGCTCTGGTAGTAAGCACGGCATAAAAATGTATAGATTAATGTAAGAATCACGCATCGCTTCACACGGGGTCGAGCGGCGATCGTGACCTTATATGCGTGGAGACGACATTACCTACATCAGAAATAGTAGTGACAAGACACGTTATCACTTAAAAGTGTAGTTTATTGCAAGATATTTTCACTTAAGTCGTTTGAATCGATCATCTGACTGAGCGGAGTAAATTAACTTATTTTATCCTGACAATTATGTTATCTTTATCAGAAAATTAAGTTTTATTTCCTAAACAGTATACCAGTCCTTGACCGTTGTGCAAGTACTTATACTAATAATTGACTCCTATCGATTTCTAGTAGACTCAATATTAAATACTTTATTGCACAACGCTATGAACTGTTAAGTGTAACGACGAAAAATATAAAATTACAGACCTATATCAGATACTCTCACCTCGTCACAAGGATGTCGCCTCCTCATGTGAGCTCATGACCTCGCGTAGTCACTGATGACTGTCAAGTAATTTATTTAGTTAATACCAATTTTTTATTGGTACATTTTTCCATATGGAAAATCATTTATTTATGTGAACAGGTCTGTTTAAAGACCTTTAATATAATTTTGTTTCATTGTGATAACACCGTGCAATTATTGGGCTTGATTTCAATATATTTGTTTGTGAAATGTATTGAAATGTCCGTGTATTTGTGGTTTGCAGTATAATTTTGCGTACAAGGTAGACACCGAATAAAACAGATTTTTTTTTCTGGATTTTTATTTGTGCCTAATGCACCTCAACCAGTCAACGTTGCAAGTATCGCAGCAAACGATTATGTGCTGGAACGCTTACATTTGAAATAATTAATAATTTCACTTAATTACGGTGTCTACGTGAGTTTTTGTATCTTGACACATTTTGCGGACCCAAATCACAATATAAAGGCCCTTATTACGATGTCACGCTTAGAATACGATTCCATGTCAAATTAAGATTCTGTACTATAATTGGTTTGAATATTATGTTCAATAATGTTCATATCAAGCAAGGGTCTAAATCTGTGCAAGAGATCGAATAAAATTTTGAGTGTAGTTTCGTAACACGGACCCTAAACGATGATTTATGTAGAGAAATTATCACTTTTTAACGTCGCTGATTCGTTTGTGATTATGATTAGTTTTATTTGTTGTTTAGAATTAAGTTCGACTGTTGATACAGGCGGTTTGTTATGTTTATTAGGTATTTTTAAAGCGATACACAAGTACTTGGGTTGACTGAAATTCACCTACGTTGTTATTATTTATCCGTACTATGTGGAACTTGACGATTTGTCAAAAAAATTATAACAAACCTGCCGTTACATATACTTAGTTTTAATTAATTTATTTTATAACAAACTTAGTTTCTGTCTATTGGTTGAAGTCAATACAGGGTTATTTTTAGTTAATTTAATAGCTTCAGGGCTAATTTTTGTCCTAATCAACATAGACATAATAGACACAGACTCGAAAATCGAATTGACCTATAAAATCGAGAATCGAAAAATCCTTCCGCATACAAATCGTACCAGATAATTTGTTTAGTTCCTGATTAAGAATCGTCCTGTATACTCATAACAATAATTAATTTATATATTTTTAAATGCGATACCTTTTTGTAAAATAGTTATTTTATTTA